AGGGAGAGAGAGAGAGAAGGGAGAGAGTGTACATGTGTGTCTTTGTGTGGGCGGCATTCCTAAATAACAAGCCAGATATTAGATGTATTTTGACTACAAAGGAAGACATATTTTTTACAGTGATGGTCATGAACAGTAACGATTTAATACTGCCTAGATATGCTTTGTATTTTCTGTGCATAGATATATGTGAGAATGTTAAAGATTTTTTTTTGCCAATGTATTCTTGGGTTTGTCCATGTGTGTACGTATAGGCCAATGTCCACACAAACCCCCTGGGGTTTTCCAATAAGCTTGTGAAAGTGGGTCAATGGGAAGTCAAATGAAGTTGGCTCTTGCCCCCTGGTGCCCTGGGAAATATCTCAGCAGGAAAGTGAATTAATTTCACCCAGTTAAACTCTGTCTCAGTGGTGAGGCTGTGCCCTTGATCATGCTCCCTACATGCTACATGGATACGCACGCACTACATGCCACGCCACGCTTTGAAACCTCCTTAACAAGCTGATTAACAAGCTGCAGTCAAAATACTGTGCTGCGCATGTTTAATGCATGCACATTTATGCATCTCTGCTTTAAACCTCAGTATATACTGTTAAAGCAGTCCGCTGTCAGCAGTAGCTGTACATGCATTTGTGGCAGCAGTTTTAATTCCCTTGCCAACTGAATTTTAGTGTCTAAACAATTGTGCTTTTAAGCTTTCAGTTAGCAAAAGCTTTTCTGAAAGAGTCTCTTTAAATTTGGTCAGCTGAAAATCAGTTTTCAATACATGTATGAGCCTGACATTACACCAACACAGATTGATATTTAGATCCAGTTTGAACATTGAATGAATTTTTGTATGTGAGTAACTCAATGAGAATGCACCGAAGCTGTTCAGGCAGAATGGCAGGGTGTCAGATAAATGATGGATTGTTATGCCTCTCTATATCAGAGAAGCGAGACTCATAGTTAATGTTTAATCTAAGCTGGGGGATTGTGTTCATTTTAGCTATAAAGTGCAACAGTGCCATCTAGCACACATGCAGCCACACAACACATTCAGCGTTTGTCACACTCCCACGTCAGATGAGCTGTAGTTGTGTTGAGTAGAGTGCGAACAGCTGTGGTTCACTGTGACGATGAATGTACACCAGTGGACATGGTATGTATTGACTCTCACACTTTAATTAAATTGACCAAAATATGTCAAAGGTTTGGTAAAGAAATGTTAATTTTGCACAAATAGTAAGGTATGTTTGCACAGTCCTAAATGCCACTCTCAGGTATCTATATTTTCAGTATTCTTTAGATGCTCACTTAAAAGGTAAAAACATGCATTGTGTGCTTGTCTTTTCTGTGTGCTTGACATTTTGTCAACTTCGAAACAGCTGACGGTGATAGAAAAAGTGAATCTACCTAATCTCTGTTTGCAAAATGTAGTACACAAGCTTGAGGACTTGAAGTGCTCATCCACCGCTGACACACCGAGCCGTGATGGACACAAATCAGACACACCCAAAGCCAACCGCAAAGGCGAAGGTGACAAGGAGAAAGGGAAGCCAGCTGCCATCTCCAAGTCTGGCTCCAGGCAGGAGACGGTAATACTTCACCACAGCACTGTGACAGACAACAACAAAACACCACAACACTGTCAACTGCAAATATAACTTATTTATAATAATATATTTCATATCCATGAACTGAAAGAAGGTTTCATTAGCTTTTATAGCATTGGATATTCTTATTCGATTACAAGAGGCAGTGATGTTATAGTGTTACATGTGAAAACCATTCATTAAACCAGTTTTAGCAAGGTCAAATTTAAGGTTATGCACAGGTTTTGTAATCTTTACAGTACATATTTTTTTCAAAGTGTATTTTCCAAAGTGTCCTATTTTAAGACCAGTGGCAGTGGTACTTGTCACATAAAACTTAACAAAAATTAGCAAAACAGTAATATTAACCTTTTTGAGAGGAAGGTGTGGAGGTACTGGAGTGGAGTACACACTTAACTCCTCTCTACAGATTCCCATACACATCACACATAATGAGATTGTTGTTGAACTCTGTCCTGCCGTCCCTTTTATCATATTTTTAGTTTGCTTTATCAGTCAGGTCAGCATTTACATATTTGGTTGACTCTGTCGTCTGCCGACTCTGAAATGCTAACAAAAGAGAGACTGGCATCAACCAAATCCCACAGGATGACCTACGTGTGTTTACACTGAATAACAGACACTTGTGTTATCACACACTATAATCTTGTGGTCTATAATTCTCAGTATAATGGTGTTGGTTTAGTAGTCAGAAACACAGCTGCTTGATAAATCTCTGATCCATGTAATAAGTGCCTTTTATTCTCTTTATTCTCTACTGCGCTACACGTCAAACTCTAGGGACAATGACATTTGAAAGGCAGATTTTCAGAATACTGGTCCCCTTCAGTAAATTTCCATTTTAAATATTTTGCATTTGGCATTGGAGGTAGAGGACGTAATGATCTCTGAATAAATGATTTATTTTTTGCAATGAAGACAAGACAGCTGAACAGGACATATAATCCAGCTGGCTGGCTTTGTACCAGACTGTCTGAGTTGCTCATTGAAAGAAACATACTGGTAATGCACTGAAGTAGGGTGACCTTCAGCTGTCTGTCTGCGAGAACATGTGCGTTACTTTTCTTGTCTGTGTGTGGCTTGCGTGTGTGTATATGTTTGTGTAGAGCCTTGACTTGACTAAGCCGAACTGGATGCTGCGTGTGGTCAGCGACAAGAGCAAAACAGAGAGCATCAAGGTGACGAAGGACACGGAGAGAATGGACTGGATTAAAGCCGTTAAAAAAGCCTGGGAAATGGCTGAATCAGGCCGCTGGGCCAAGGTAACCCAGAAGTTGTTTCTAATGGTGATTTAGTGTAATTATTTATCAGGTGAAGTCTTTTTAATGAAGTGTTTCCAATATTTTGGAGCTTGCCCATACCCAAATTATTATAGGAAGAATGTTTTTCTGCCTTTTTTTAGGCTTTACAGTCTCGTCTCAAGTTTCTTAAACAACTCCAACATCAAGAAAGTGATGAAACTACTACAGGTGATGCAGAAAGCAGAGAACATGGTAGTATACTTTACACACACACACACACGTCTTTGGGCACTTTCTGTTGCAATTACTTGTCACATACAGTGTAGTAATTCTGACTGTTCTTTTACAGCTGCTTCCAGATCTGCCACCTCTCCCAGTCCATCTGATCAAAAGCTGACCGATACCTCATGCTCCTGTCCTCCCATGGACTACACTCCCTTCATCAGGTGCTCCGCCACTCTTACACTCATTCTGTTCTTTCATCATCTTTATTCAATCTATTTCTCTTCTCAATTTGTTGTTAGTTAGGATGACGATTAGAGGAAATCAAACCATGATGATCTCACACATAACTATACATTGCAGAATTTCTAGTCGGTAGCAGCACTGTGGCTGCTTGTGTATCTCTCTGTAACAGATGTCGGCTCAGCCTGTTCCAACAGACAAATTCACATCTGTGCTTAGAGGGCTGAGATGGAGAATATTACATGAACAAGCAAGACAGACCCATCATCTCACTGTATTTTTTAAACAGGCTTCTTTTCCTCTTGAAGTCCTGTTTGTATGCGGTCCAGTTGCTTAATGCAGTTGTTAGATCACTCTGCTCTTCTAGCTTTGTGAGCCTTAGCTGCAAGGCCCCATTGCACTAGGGGGTTGTTTGTGTGTTTTTCAGTATGCATGTTGCTATGTTGGACATACCAGCATCCTTAGCCGCAGATTGGATCATGCAGTATCTGCAGGACATTGCTAGTGAGTTCTTGTGTTTATGACCTTTGCTCCCATTGGTGCTGTGAACAGCAGTGTACACTTTGGCTGGCCTGAAAGGGCAATGCATGGACACCAGAGGACATTGATGTATACTGTATAATGTAGAGACAGCAAGGGGAAAGCTAAGTGGAGGAAAAGCACACACAAAATGAAAATAAATAATTAAAAAAGATCTGCATTTTAATACACTTTAACTTGGGATGTAACTTAACTGGGATATAACTGTAATAACTTAAGATTAATTTTTTTAACAAATAAGATTGAAGATAAATTATAAAAAGATGACTTAATTTTTCAGACAAAAATCTACAAAATATATTTACTTAATTATTTATATTTTATTTTCTTTATCAAATTAAATGTCCAGTGTGTAGAATTTTGGAAGATCTATTGGCAGAAATGGAATATAATATTATTTATATTGTTTGCATTCATGTATAATCACCTGAAAATATCAATCGTTGTTTTTTCATTATCCCCACCCCCTCTCTACCCCCACCTTTCCTGTCTATCTTCGGCTGTCCCTATCTATTAAAGGCATGAAAAGGCCAAAAATATATATATAATATATATAAATATATAAATAAATATATATAAATAAATATATATAAATAAATAAATATATATAAATAAATATATATATATATATATATATAAATATAAATATATATAAATAAATATATATATATATATATATAAATATATATA